CTTTAGGGCAGTGTTTATTGAGATCAGTGTAATCAACGCACATTCTCCATTCATTATTCTTTTTGCGTGCAAGAACCGGGTTGGCTAACCACTCCGGATGATACACTTCTTTGATAAATCCAGCTGCCAAAAGTCGTGTAACTTCTACCCTAATCGCCTCCTTTTTGTCGCGAGTGAACCGTCGTAGCTTCTGCTTGATAGGTTTGGCCTTGCCGTTGACATTCAAGGAGTGCTCAATCAAGTTCTGAGGTACACCGGGCATGTCAGCAGGTTTCCATGCGAACACATCCACGTTGCTCCTCAAGAACCTGACGAGTGCGTCTTCCTATTTGGGATCCAGGTTGGCCCCGATAAGGGCCGTCTTGCTAGGATCACCGTCGACCAGCTGGATCACCTTGTGCTCCTTGGACTTGATGTTCTTGCGTGGAGCCTCGAGCTCCAGGATCTCCTGGTGGTCGATCGAGGTCTTCTTGGCGTTGAGCACGGTCTCGGCCATGCGAATAGAGAGGTCGTGAGCCTCTGCTATTTTGAAACTGTCATCTTCGCAGGTATAAGCTGCGTACACGTTGCCTCGGAGGGTTAGAACTCCTTTCTCGGTAGGCATCTTGAGCACCAGATGCCTGTAATGAGGTATGGCCATGAACTTGGTGAGCGACGGTCGACCAAGAATAGCATGGTAGGCATCTTGCGAAAGTGATCCGGGGTCCCAAATTGCACTAGTAGCGTGATCTGCCCGAGAGGTGTAGAGCTCTGTCTGGGGAGAACACCCCAGAACTGTGCCTCGTATGGCTTGAGGTCCACCTGAGCTATCTTCAGGGCGGGCAGACTGTTCTTGAACAGTATATCAATAGAGCTGCTGCCGTCGATCAGTACTCTATCGAACTGAACTTTGTTGATACAAGGATCGAGGACCAGGGGAAAATGCCCTGGCTCAGGTATTGCGGCCCACTGGTCCTTTCTGCTGAAGGAGATTTCGCGGTGAGACCACGGAGGGAGCCGCGGATCGGTGAGGAGATTGTCGGTGTTGGCCACGTTCAAGCAAGCGCGGGCGAGCAACTTGCATTCTCGTTTGGTCTCGATGGACACTTTGCCTCCGATGATGGTGTGCACGCGATCGGTTGGCTTGACGTACTTGTGATGGGGATCTGCATCGTCGTCGTCGTTATCCTCGTTGCGCTATTCCCCTGCGTCGTTAGGCTTGTCGGACGTATCTGGAGCTTGTTGACGCGTGTAGATAGACTTGAGGACGCGGCAATTCTCCATGGTATGGTTCGACTTAGGATGGAGCTGGCAGGGCCCCTTCAATGCCTTGGCGTAGTCGTCTTCATAGTTACGACGTCCGCCACCCTTTTTAATGGTGTTGACCTTGCCGTCGTCTTCCCGAGCACGCTTGCTCCTGTAATCGTCACGGCGGTTACGCCGCTGATTACGTTGGTCACGGTGGTCGCGGGAGTCGTTGCGCTGGTTGCGGCGGTCAAAATTGTCGTTCCGACCACGGTTGCCGCGGTAGTCGTCGCGGTGTGGGGGGTGGTCGGAGCGCGGAACCCTTGCGCTGGTTGCCTGGTTGTTCACAAGTAGCAATGAAGTTGTCGATGAAGGCTTGCTTGAGCTCCTGCCAAGATTCGAAATAGTTCGCCAGCAAGCTGACCAGCCATTGGTGACCCGCATGGCCAACAGCGACTGGGAAATAGTTAGACATGACGTGCTCGTCCGCCATGGCTGATCTGCACGCAGTCTCGTAAAGCATGACCTATAATTCGGGGTTTTCCTTGCCGTCGTACTTCTGAAGTTTCTCGAGCTTGAAATTCTTGGGCCATATGACTTGGCGAAGGTGTGGAGTAAACTGCTTCAAACCCGGTGGGCCATGGGCAGTGTCATATTCCATACGGCGATAACTTTCGTGGGACGCTCGATCGTCGGCTCTCTGGTTGATGCGAGCTCGCAGATCGCGTCCACCGAGGTAATGGCGGAGATCGTTATTGCCATCGCGGCGATCTCGATTGCCATCTAGATTAGCCCTGCGACCGTGGTTATCGCGACGATTGTCGCGGTTGTCCCAGCGGTGGTTGTCGTCCTGGCCACCATCATGGCCACCGTTTCCTCCTTGACGGTTGTCTGATGGGTCGTTGTTGCGCGAGCCACGTTGGTTGGGCGGCTGTGAGCGACTTGGGTGCTGGCGGCTGTGGCTTGACTCGACCGAGACGGATGGAGCCCGAGCTTGATTTACAATCTCCGCGGTCTAGGCCATAGCAGCCGTCAGATAGGCTTGTATTTCATCGCGAACTGCTTGGGTTTCCGGGGTGTTGGGTAGCCGTTGCATTGTTGCCATGGCGACGGCTACATTGGCACTTGGAGTTCTGAAGACCTGTTTGTCCCCCACCCTGTCGAAAGCATCGTTGAGGTCACGTGGCTGGACCCTTATGTGTCGTGCCTCCTGATCTGCTTCGGCTTTGATTTGTCGGCGATTAAACCGGTCAATATTGCGTGCTTCGCGTGCAGTCCTTTCTTGTTCTGTTTCACCAACTGCCGGCAGTTCATCATTGCTGACAACATGGATCAAATCCCCTCGTCTTGGCGGGAAAGACGGGAATTGTGAGAACCCCGAGGCGTGGTCTGGGATATCCAAATCGTACTTGACGCCTTCATCTTCGTGATGCTGAAGCTCGGTGTGGACATATGCATTAGATGCGGTGCCAGACGAGGAGCTGGGGTCACCCTCTTGGACTGTGTGAACGGATCCTTCTTGATAATCTTCAATCTGGAGCAAGTTGACGAAGTTGCGCGGCTTCGGCTGAGGTCGGTGCATAAGACACAGATCCAAGCGGCGTTGCAGGTTGTAGGCGTAGCTGGAGGCAGCGTTTTGCAGGCCGTAGGGCTGGACCTGGTAGTTCTCCATCGAGGCTTCGTACTCGGAGAGCCGGAGACCCGTCGTGAAGGCTGGCCGGCGACGAGCAGAGCGCCCTTGAGGAGTAGATGTGACCACGAGATCTGTACTAAGTCGTGCAGGACGACTAGTCCGAGTTGGTCGGGTAGATCTGTTGTGGGGAGCGGTTACCTGCTCATTAGGCTGACTTTGAATCGTACTTACCAGAGCCAGGGTTTCAGTGAGCTTGGTGCCGACCCGATCGATAGAGTCGAGCAGGTCGGTGTTGTCGATCTGCCTCCCTTTGCAGCGGGGAAGCGGATGACAAGTTGTCGGCGTGGCTGAAGGTGATGCAGGCGTGGTCGGAGCCAGATGTACCGTGGTCGGAGCCAGATCCATCGTGGTCGGAGCCGCATCCACCGTGGTCAGAGCCGCATCCACCGTGGTCGGAGCCGTATCCACCGTGGTCGGAGCCGTGTCCACCGTGGTCGGAGCCGTATCCACCGTGGTCGGAGCCGTGTCCACCGTGGTCGGAACTGTATCCACCGTGGTCGGAGCCGTAGCCGATGTAGGTGAAGCAGTGGTCGACGCAGACTGAATCCACGCCTCCTCCGGGGTCATGGCGATGAAGTCGTCGGAGCCGGTGGTCCAGGTGATCTGGCCAACGGTGAACGTGAGGCCGTTCGGCATAGCCATGGAGCCGAAGATGATGACCGTCTTGTTTGCTTGGGAAGCAGTACGCACACCCCCTACCTGGCGCGCCACTGTCGACGAAATATGGTCGGCAGTCTACCTAGGGGTATACCCAAGGTAGTAGATTGTCGGCAGACAGATGCGCAAGCCACAAACAAGACGGTGACGCAAGACAGACACAAGGTTTTATCCAGGTTCGGCCGCCAAGAAGGCGTAATACCTACGTCCTGCGTCTGATTTGTATTGCTGTATGTCAATGAGAGATGTTTTTTAGAGGGGTCCCCTGCCCGCCTTATATAGTTCGGGGGGCAGGGTTATAGATCTGGAAACTAATCCTAGCCAGTTACAATTGCCATATGTGGCCGGATAAGGATTCCTATTCTAACTGACCAGGATCTTGATTGATCGCCAAATCCGCCTTGACTCCTTGCGCGGGACTCCGATCAGGTTAACCGGGCCGCACGTCGTCTTTTGGTGGACCGGACCCACCGATCCGGGCCGGCCCAAGCTTAGTCATAAGGGTACAGGGGTTAATACCCCCACAATACCTGAACCAGAAAATATATCATATATACTAGAATAACACATTTTTTAAGAGAAGCTTTCATGAGAGATTTGGCAAAGTGTTATGGTCGACTATTCTAGGTAACATGGTTTCCACGCACGCACAATGATATTTCTAGTAATACCAGCTTTTCTATGCTTGTTTATTAAGGCAGTTCTATGATCAAACACAGCCAGTTCTGATAAGTAATTAATAGCAATTGTAATAAGAAGTCATAACTAGAAGCTAAGTATGTCGTACATGGTTGTGGAAAATGGGAGCCTATCAAGTTAGTCAGGTCATGTTCTCTTGTGCGAGGAGAAAAAAACAGCATCAAACCAAATTTTATTTCTAGTAACATTGGGCTTGTTTAGCTAATAAGCTGCTTATGCCCAAAATAAGCTGAAACCAGGAGCCAAACTGTATGTTTTTTTACAGCTCATTTTTGCCGGGCTTATTCACAAAAAACAGCATCAAACCAAATTTTATTTCTAGTAACATTGGGCTTGTTTAGCTAATAGGCTGCTTATGCCCAAAATAAGCTGAAACCAGGAGCCAAACTGTACGTTTTTTTTACTGTGGATGCGGGACGCCGATGTTGTGCTGCGGCGGCGGCGGGGGTGCGTGGAGAGGAGGGGTCAACAGGTCAAAGTCATTTTGGTATGAATAGCTAGGGTTACTTGATCCTTAGTTGGGCCAGCCATGTGCTCTTTCTAGTGGGTTGTCTTATAACTTTGGGTCCCCAGCGGGCACCTGTGGGGGAGAATCAAAACCCGACTCTGTCTCATCCCGTTTCGGATCCCCGAACCCGAGTACCCACGGGTCTACAGCATAGTGAAAACAAGTAGTGTCGACTAACTTTGAGCAAGAACATCTTAAAAGGCACTCCGTAATTACAATTTACAATTGGGTTGCTGATGTGTACCTCTTGTTCTCCAGGAATTCTTGGATTTCACGAATTAGGAGTGCCACACCTCTTCTAGTGTTATGAATGTTGTCATACTTTATCTTGTCAAGATCAAAGAGGATGTCCTTGAAAACTTTTACCAAGTCATGATCCCGTCCAACTGAAACGAAAGCTGCACAGTCATACTGCGATTTTAGGTTGTCATACGCCGCTTTGGCAAGAGTGGTTTTGCCCAGTCCCCCAACTCCAACAATAGAAACCTTCTTGGTGATCTTCTTGTCAGGTGCAACATCATCTGGTTGGGATGGATTCAGCATGGATATGAGCTCGTCCCTTGACTTGTCGACACCAATAAGTCGTGTCACTTCTTTGCACATAGCTTTCATGCAGGGATCAAGAGTTGACGATGTTGCGAGCGGCTTGCACACATTGTCATCAAGTTTGTAATCCTGACGCCTTTTAGCTAGCTCCTCAAGATTCTTCTTGATGTCTTCGATGGCAACAGCAATACCACGGCGAGCCTTGGCCTTGCTGAACACCTTGCCCATCTTCTTCATAGCGCGTTTGAGCCTGCTCAGGTCAGTAGGCTCACCACCTTCGACGCGCACGAGGAAGGTGTCGAGGACATCCTCCATATCATAGGATGCCTCCCTGACCTCACGTGCCCACACCTTGACTTGCCCGTTGAGCCGATCCCCACCTCCGCGACCTCGCCGAGGAAGGCATAGATGCTCTCCAGCTGGCTGTGGAGCCACTGCACTTGCTTCTTCACGCCCTTCTGGAGCTTGTATTCATCATGGAGCAGCTGAAGAAGCTTGGGGGCGAGGCTTCCCAGTGCCCCCGTCACGACACTCATGCTTCTTTCTTCCCTCTCTTGGTTCCCAGTGCAGCAATTGGGGTGCATTAATCGTAGTGCTGTGGTGGTGGCAAGGCGTCCAGTGGGAGGCAGTATTAGACAGTAGGTAAAGACTTGACGCAGCCAGGAAGTGGCCACCGCACTTCCTTGTGTTGTTTTCCATGACGTATGACAGGCACTACGCAACACAAGTCTCCAGTTAACGCGGTTAGGTAGGGGCTTGCTTTCATCGAGGACGACGGCCGCCCCGCGAGTCTCCACCAAACCCAAAAAGAGGCGTTCACTTTTACTTCCAGTTGCTCCTTTTAAAACATTTGTGCTGCTTTCCTCCAAGTCCAGCACCACGCTAATAGGTCGATCCGCACCTAACGCTAATTCTTCTACCGATGAACACATCATTTCTTGTTTGATAAAGTTTGAGCAATTCAAATTTTCAAATTTTAAAAAAATAATAAGTTCTAATAAGATTTTGAAACACCAAATGATTTCAGCTGAAAAAGTGATGAATACCAAAGTTGTATAACTCATCAAGATCTACAACTTTTATTTTGGTCATTTCTTCCTCTGACAAAGTGATAGTAAACATTGTTTACAAATCAACATGTCTCTCGTATAGTTTATGAAACTATGAGTGATATGTTGATTTGTGAACAATGTTTACTAACACTTTGTTAAATGAAGAAATAATCAAAATAAAAGTTGTACATAGTGATGAGTTCAACAACTTTATGTTCATGACTTTTCTAATTGAAATCATTTAAGGTTTCAAAATATTGTTTGAAGTTGCCATTTATTTCTCTATCTCTAGAACTAAAACATCTAAAACTATTCCATCCACCATGCGATCTAGTGTCGCGCCCTCCCTGGTCCCACCCAGCAATTCTGCGCGCTCGCTCCCAGACCCCGCCCGGCACTTCCATTCACCGTGAGAATAGATGGAAACCGGAGGTAATCACTGCGACATTAGAAGAAAACACAACGCCCCTACCCCCGATCTCCTCCAGTCTGGCTCGATCCATAGCAGAGGACGCCAACGCCGATTCGCCGATCCCATAGCAGAGGATGTCAATGCCCACGCGGTTTCCAGCTAAGCCCCTCCAGCGATCACGCAAAGGTCAGTGTCGTGCCGGAGGACCTGCGTTGCCAGCATTCTGAGTCTCTGATGGAACAGTGCCTCGGGTCCGTCCCCAAGCACGCCCGTCGCTCCGCGTTCCTCCCCAGATCGTACGTCCAGCTGTGACAGCGGGCGGAGGAGCAGGCCTCTAGCCGAAGCGACCTAGATCTCGTTCGTCATGGTGGTGGAACTGCAGTGACTCGACGTGGCGGCGGGGTTGGCTGTGCACCGGTGCCGCAGGACCTCCGTTGCCAGCGCTTCGGTGCCAAGCAGTGGCACTGCAGCGCACCTTCCATGACCGACAAGACCTCCGTTGCCACCAGGCTTTCTTTGCACTTTCGACACTCCTTCATGTAGACACCGCTAGGTACGACCCCATTGTCCCCATGCCCCTTCAACTTGATATTTTCCATCTGATCTAGTTACACAGGGCAGGCAGACTTCGGTTGATTTTTTTTTATATCTGATATCTGATGCTGCGTGCATTGATATGGTGAAGTTGCAGCTTTCTGAGCCAAACTTCCATGGAGAATCTACACAGTCAACGACCGGAACCCTGGTACCTAACCTGTTTCCGTTTGTATGCGTTAGTTCTCATCTACATCTTCCATTAGTTTTCATCTACATCTTGCTTGGATACCTGGCTTTGAGATGAAGGATTAGCCAGCTCAAAGTAGACATAAACATTGACTCGATCTTGATGCAGTTGTACAACTGAAGACTGAATAAAACAGATAGGGTGTTATACCCTGAATTCTGATGAGTTTATTACTGGTGAGCGAACCTGCATAATACAGACAATGGTACTATATCATTTATCTCTTTTGTAATTCTCGAATATAAAACTGAATCTTCGTGTCCATTGAGTTAAATTATGTTTATGAACCTGAAACTTTTCAGGCCTATGTTCAATTTCAGACAATATAAAACTAATTGGAGAGTTTGATTCAAATAAGAGTATAGCAAGAGTCTAATTCACGTTTTTTCTGCCCCGTGCATCAATTAAAACAATAAATATTCTAATCTCGGCAGCTCATTCAATTGACATGCACACAAGCGGCCATGGTTCGCCCCTTGCCGGCAGTACCCCTCCCTGCTCGTCCCTATACTTGATCTGGCAGGAACCTTCCAGTCTTGCACAGGTACAGGTTCACGTAGAGGTCATTTCAGTCTTAATCATTCAGAGAAGAAAACCTTTTCTCTGTTGTCTATTTTTAAATGGGTGCATATCCTAATAATTGTCCTACATTATTTTTAATCTAGGGAGTAATATCTTCAAACTGCATGTGGGTTACTTTTTAGTCTAGAGAGTAAGAACACTATGGACTGAAGGGGTAATACAAATAGCGTGTCCTATAATAATTAAGAATTTCACTATGGACTGAAATTCATCCTGTAAAATTTCAGTTCTCTGTTCATCGAGCTTTCAACTCTAATTTTATTGTTACCTTCCAGTATAACTACACAGAGAAGTCCCAGCGCTGCAAAAGTTCACTGAACAGAATTTTGGTGAGGGCTCTTCCTGTGGAAAATTCATCAAATTAGCTGAGGTTCAGTGAATAGGAAATTAAGGTATGCTTGGAGATACCTCTCTTAATTAGGGTCTAGAATTTTTTACTTTTAATCAACTGAATAAAAAAATTGGAGATATATGTTTCTTATAGGATCCAGTGTTTTGACTGAAGCGAGCCCATGGTAGCAGATGAGTTACCCTATGGTGGCTCCCATGGTAGTGATCGACTTGACAATCCCTTGGCTGATATGACTAATAATTGCCAACAATGAAATTCTTGTAAGAGAAGCCGGGCATGTAATGCTGTGGAAACAAGCTCAGCAGGCTGCTGCTTTTGTCTGCTTGCACCGGAGCTCTTTTGACCACTAAGAGGAAGAACCCATCCTGTGAAGCCTTCTCGCTGTGCCGATCGGTATCTTGAATTGCTTTCAGATGATGCCGTAAGAAAGCATACTGAGAGCATAGTGTTTAGACCAGTTTATGGGTTGCATATCTTTTTATATAACAATAGGGTACCACCGACGCCCCCTCCCCGACCTAGCCTGGCCGCTCCACCGCCGCCAGATCCCCGAACCACCTGACTGCCGTCCCCACCGCTTGGCTGGCCGGCCTCCCCCTGAGCCCCTTCTTCTAAGCCCGCCAGAGTTGGGGAAGAAGGGGGTGGGGCGGGCACGGGCGCGGGTGCAGACGTCGCGTGGGCGAGGCCACCGGGGAGGAGCTCGCTGGAGTTGGGAGAGGAAACGTGGGGAACGAAGGAAGAAGAAGGGGACGTGACTGGGAGGAAGAAGAAGGTAGACTGACGGATAAGCAGCTTATCAGGCAACTGCGCTTGAGTATTTCTGTAAAAAAAAATGGAGTACATGGGTCTTGCACCAGCAATTTTACCCTTACTTCTGCAAACAGACCTCCGAGGTGCCTGGACTTGTGGTAGCCGCTTAACTGTTAATTAGGAAAAGGACCTTTTTTGTCTCTTGATTCTTGCCTGTAAAACGCTTTATTGTTGTTTTAATATATTCCAATAGGGGTCTTGACCCCTTCTGTTTCCTCAAAAAAAAAACTGTTAATTAGGAAAAGGGTATAACCTAATGTAATCTCTTATGCTCAATGAGTTGCTTGTTGTGTTGCTGATATACTTATCTTGTACGTTCTACTTTTTCTTCATGGTCTAACTTGTCGCCTTTTCTAAAAACTGGTGGCATGTGCTGCGCTGGGTATTGCGCTGGCGACGCAGCAGATTTTTATTCAGTCCTAGTAAATTCGATGGGTTAGTTTAGCTTAGCCAAGTCATGTTCCATGGTTTTGGTGGAATCAGACTCGAGTCCGCCAGGTGTCTTTGGTGTGGAGTCGGACTTATTCCGTCAGGTGCCTGCGTGCACATATCGGGTGCCAACCATGTAAACAGGGACTAGAGTTTATTCGCATCTCGTGAGTCACGAGGAAACACAAGGCGCCGCCGCCCCCAGGCTGACCTGATGTGGCCTCCTCCATGGAGCGCCGCCGAGGGCGAGCGCGGCCGCCTCACCGGAGCCCCCGCGGCGAGCGACAACGGCTCTGGCGGACGAGGGCGAGCGTGGCCGCCTCACCGGAGCCCGACGACGAGCGGCACTGGCCTCGGCGGCACGAATCCCTGCAGCACTGGCTCCAGTGGACGCGGCCCCGATGAGCTCCTCCAGTTGCGCCACCTCCGTCATCACCGACTCCGGTGGCGGGCGAGCGTGGCTTTGGCCCCGGCGGCGGCCAGCGTGGTTTCAGCCCCGACGGCATCCATGCTCTCCTCTGCACGCTGTGCTTGACAGATTGGGTCGGATGACACATGGGACCCGCTCACAGTAGCTTTTCTAACAAGCCGCACCTGTTCAACCAAATGGCTCCAAGCTTTCCCACAGCCCACAACCACGGCAGCTTTTCTACAGAGCTCAGGTCGTAACAACTTTTTCAGAAGCTACATCTCAATCAAACATACTGCCAATGGAGGAGCTCCTCATGAGTGCCTGTTTATTTGCTCGTGTGTGGTGGCGTTTGGATTAGTTTTTAGTCCGTTCACATGCTAGAAGAAGAATAGGTGCCGACAGGTACAACACCAAGAAGAGATTGCATCAAAGAAGGTAGAGAGAAGTGGACCCTAGGCGGTGACGTGAGTTGATAGGATTGCAGATAAATCTGCTTGTGTGGGTCTTCTATTTTTAGACATAGTAGAACATATAGTAGAAAGTAGATTGGCACCATGGCAACACCTGATAAAAAGAGTAGAGGAATCAAGCATTTAACCTTGTGAACCAACCATACTAGAGTACAAACTCGTACTTTGTATTACATAAATCTGATAAAAACCAGTTAACCAATTAACAAATTAACTAATGAACGCAAATTGATAATCACGGAGAGCAAGTGACATGATATTAAAATGAATACAGCACAGAGAGCCGTGTACCTATAATCTAACAGACATATATACATATATAGTCAATAGGATCTCTCTAGCAAGCACCGCCACCACCACCACCATCGCCGCCGCCGCCGCCGCCGCCGCCGCCGCCACCATCGTCACAGCCGCCGCCACCACCACCAACAACAACATCGCCGCCACCGCCGCCTCCACCGATGCCACCACCACCATTCGTACCACTCCTATTAAAATTCCTATTTTGCTTCACTATACTACCGAATCTCATGCATGGCCAATAAAACAGGAGATCCTAACCCAACTCTGCTATATACATTGTTAGAAAATTAGGCAAATTCAGTAGCAATTTGATCTAGAAAACATTAACATGTTGGTGACATCAGAAAGGTGTGTGTGAGATCTAGTCGCAAACGTGACATCTAACATGATATTAATCATGGACCCGATCATAGAGAATAGAAGAACACATCGGGACTAGCAAACCCAGCGGCACCAGAGCTGGTGACACTAGTCAACAAAAAAGCATGTTGTTGTAGTTGTCGGTGTAGTGCAGAAGAGTTGCAGTGACAAGCATATCACCACTGAATGCAAAGTAGAGGAAGTCGTGGATTATTGTCGTCGCTGGAAGCCGTGGATCGAGCAGTCCCGTTTTTTGTGGACGCTCCCCAAAAACCTGATTGTCAGCCTTCACCCGAGCAGATGAACACGAAGACAGCCTAGTTCCGAGGCCTCTTCTCCCTATTCCTGTGCGCACAGGAACCGGGATGGGGTAAGCTGTGGTTGCAGCAAAGACAACGTGGAAAAGTGTTTGCGCAAGAAGACCGAACTGAATGCCAAGATAAGTCTATTACATCGCCCACTCCCAGAGAAGACCAGAAGTCTCTCGGAATCAGAACCGATCAAGCCTCGAGGCCAGCAACATAGAAGACGAGAAGACAGAAGCAGAAGATACGCTTACAGAGGAAACTCCCGTCATAATGAACTGAAACTTCTGAAACTCCTCCCATCAAACGACTTAAGTGGCAAAACCATCCCGCGAACCGCACCACATCATGTCGTGACAAGTTAGGTCGGTCGGCCACGGCCACGGCCTGAGAAGTGGGCAGAGCAGGATACGTGCGGCCATGCAAAAGACTACAATACCCCTACATCCTCTCTCTCATCTTCTTCCCCGTTCACATCAGCGAATCCAGGTCCGGTGAGGTCGGGACGGGCGCGATTGAGGTGAAGCCTGGCCGGATCCAGCGAATCCAGCTCTAGATCCTAGCCGTGGCTTGTGGGGACGAGCGAGGGGTCCTCCTCGCCTGTGTGCCGAGGGTGGGCTCTGGTGTCGCCAGCATGCTGACAGCGTGGCCCACTTGGGTTATCCTTGCCGGCTCGCCGTCGAGGCGCTCCACATTCGCACTAGCCGCTCTGCCCTAGGACGACCGCTCTACTCCGGTCCGCGCCGACGCCGACCCGCCTCAGCGCCGCGTGCGGAAGAGAAGAAGAAGACG